ATATTGTGTAATGATTTTAATAGAATAATTAGGAAGGGAGTAGATTTTGAGCAAAAAGACGGTCAACAAAAAATTCAATAGTTTTGTTTTTTTTTTTTTTTTAACAAACTGTTACAGAGTTCAATACTTTTTTTTATTATTAATGTCTCTATTTTGGGTCAATCACTATTTAATTATTTACAGCTTTTAATAATTCGACTTAGCAAAATTAAAAAACAATTTGATATGCGATTTTTATGAATCAAAGCAAGAAAATTATTGACTTATCCAAGATATTAATTAGAATTTGATAATCGTATCTAAGACGAAAGTTTAATTTTTTTAATTACAATTATTTGACAAATTAAAAAAGTGTTTTGAAATTTCTCAAAAAATTACAGTAGTTCTAAAACATCGTTGTTTGATAATTTTTTAAATTATTATCGTTAAATGTTCCTATAGACTATTTATTGGTAAATTCTTAAGATTTTAAAGCAGTTTTTTTATTTTTTTTCGTATCGTTTCCATCACGTTTAACTCATAAAGAAAACGTTACAAAAATAATTGCTTCCTGTTCAAAGATCCAAAAAAGAATATACTTTTATTATTTTTGTTTGATCATTACTAACATGAATTAGGAAAACCGCGTTCAATGGTTTTTTTAAATTCGTAAATTACAAAGAATTTAAATAATACAACAGTAATTGAATACGTACTTTAGCATGCTTTTTTGCCCATTTCCTCGGTTTTGCAGCAGAATATTCTTTCGGACATTGCTGCTTTTCTTTCGTAGTTAGGTATGTCTCAATAATCTAAAAAAATAAATCACAATGACAATGTATAGAAAAAAAGGTTATTTTTTCTGATCAGTAATGGATATGGGGTGTTCCATGCCAAATCGACCACTTTTAAACTCGACCCCTTTAGATTTAGCTGAAACTTTATCATTCTTGTCTACCCTTTGAAAAGCATTTTTTTTAAATTTTTGTTTTTGAATGAACTTTTCGAAAAAATACATAAAAAAAATAAATATGATCAATTCTATAATTTTATAGTCGATTATTTAATCGACTATTTTTTAACAAAATTTTTATTTTTTCGAAGTTCATCACTTTTTTTTTTATTTTTTTTTTCTTAAAAAAAATGTCAATTAATTTGACAACTATTTCCGCTCATCCTGGGCAGGGCCAATTTTATTTTTATTTAATTGAAAAAAAAAAATTTTTTTTATTTTAGAAAATTTGACAATTTTTTGTTCAATTAAATAAAAAAAAATATAAAAAAAAATCGGCCCTTCCAGGGATGAGCGGGAATAGTTGTGAAATTGATTGAAGTTTTTTTTGAGGAAAAAAAATCAAAAAAAGCGACCAATTTTGAAAAAATAACGATTTTAATTGAAATAAAAACCGATTTTTTTATAGAATTGATCATATTTAATTTTCTTTTGTATTTCTTGGAAAAGTTCATTCAGAAACAAAAATAAAAAAAAAACAGTTACCCAAAGGTCAATGTCTAAAAAAGTTATGACTATTCCAAAATAAAAATGCCACTTTTTCGGAAAATTTAAAACTATTTTTGGGTTTGAAAAAAAAATTTGAAAAAATTCCCAAAAATGTTTTTCAAAAGGTAGAAAAGAATGATGAAGTTTCAGCTCAATCTAAAGGGGTCGAGTTCAAAAGTGGTCGGTTTGGCATGAAATACCCCGTATATACTTACGTTTAAAGTTTTTTCATTTTTTCCACCAAGGCTATCGTAGTACCAAATAGTAGAATCGGTTACATCGACGACACATAACGTCCAGTAGTTTCCCAAATGGATTGGAATGAAAATAATATTTTTTGCTAGAATGTCAACCTAAAATATGGAATATTTTATTGTAAACTTTTATATACTGTTAAATTTGTAATAATATAAAATAATATAATAAAATTTTACGTTTTTAGTCCATTTTTCGACATATGTAAAACCTTTGTTCAATTGCGGATAAAAATGAGTGTCGAATACATAAGTATCCACCAATGAAAAATTTGAAATGATTTTAAAGTAAAGATTAATTACCTAAAAAAGAATAGAATTTAAATAGCTTGTTGAGATTAACTTCTTATATCTATGTAATCTGATTCATTCCAATGATCTTTAGAGTAGCAAAAATGATTAATTATGAATCTTCTTTTTCAAGCAAAATTAAACGAATAATTTTTTCATTTTTAATGAATTAAATTATTTCATTACTTCTATTACATTAAGTAATGAAGAAGTTTTAGCATAAAATATTTATCTGTTAATCTTAATGACTATTTAGTAGACTATTTACACAATACGTCTGTCAGGTCACTTAGTTATTTGTAAAATAAAATATTTCATGTGTTATTTTTGCGACACTAAAGACAATGCATAAGATTTTATTATTCTACTGATTTCAATGACAATAGAAGAATTACGAAGCTAAGGTTCTTACTTACTTCATCATTTAATTTATTGGCGGAACAAGCTTCTTTAAATCCATAACTCTTATATTCATTCCAACATTATTAGTAAATAAATGTTCGTCATTGACTCCAAGATGTTCCTAATTGAAATCAATAAAATTAAGTTTTAATCAAATACATCAATGTGGTCGACGACATGAAATAATATTGGAAAAATAATACAGGAATCTCACTTCCAACGTTGAAAAACGCAACTATTATTTTCGAATATTAATATTGGATTTTTCAATTTAAAAAAGTTTTTTTTTATTTTTTTATGATTTACTAATTTTACATATAACATGCACGATGAGCAATTTAAAAAAACTTACAGAGTTCTATTGAATTAATTTATGACATTGTTTTAAATTTCTTTATCGTATATTGCTTAATTTCGCATAATAAAGAAGTATATAGTGCTTCTAATTTAAGAGGATTCTCTGGTTTGATGGTATAACATTCACGCATTTTTTTTTTTTTTTTTTTCAAGGACCAATGAAACTACATGACTTTAAAGTTGTCATCAGTTATTCATAACTATTTTTAGAGTATACATATACATTTTTTGATGAATATATTTATTAAAACCGACATTATAGCTAGATTATAACTCTGAATGAACTGTTATCACAAAAAATTTTGAAAATTGAATTTTTCATCGACTTTGTTATATCCGGCGTGCCGTCTATAATACAGGGCCTCCCATTTCAGCCGAAAATTGCAGCGCTTGCATATTTAGGGAACAACAACCTGGACTGCGCGACAACTCACTCGTGGCCGAAGAATACACATTACCGCGCATTGTCACCTTATCAAAGGAACCAATTGCTTAATTAGTAGCCCCACTTAATAAATCGCGACCGAGGTGATAAAAGACGTGAACAACATAATTCGACAGCTTATTTACAAGGTAACAGTTCTGCCTTAAAGCCCGGGTGAGTCCTTCACCCCGTTACGTGTAGGCAGACTTCAATTATTAAATTAATTAGTCACCTTTTCCCTAATTATTCATTTCGATTGCTTAACGGTATTTCTGAGTTCTGTGATTGTGATTCTTCGAGCCACGATTCGTTTTGACGATAATCGAGATTCCCGCAGTTCCAGTGACCTGGTCCCACTCTCAAATTATTTTCTTCTTCTGTCAATTTATAATCGGCGAACTTTTGTTTGCCGGAGTCGTTACTCCAGTTACGAACTCATATAAACTTTCAACTTGTTTTATATTGTTATTAGTTAATAAGTGAATAGTGTAAGTTAAGACGTGTTTGCCCATAGGGCCATTTGATTGAATATACACCTAAAAACTCGAATCGAAGTGTTCCATCATTTATAAATTAAGAAGTTATCCAACCTTCGTCCTTCAACCTTCAATCTCCAGTCAGCAGGAGGAAGCGAGAAGCCAAGCAACGGAATTCAAAGGTACGACTCCAATCATAGGCCGAATCATCGTTGGAATTAGGATTCGCAATAGTAAGTGAAGGATATTTTATTATTTCCGAGGTCGATTGTCTTATTCAAGGGGCTCTCTCCGGGGTTTTCACCTTCACGAACCCATAAAATATAAACTTAACGATTCTTTCGTTAGGGGAATTCATCTGTTATCGGAACCTCCGTTAATCCAGCTACCGCATTTTTAGATC